TGACATTGATCAGCAGGTAGATCCACATTATCGGCACTGTCAGTTCGACCCCAGGAATCAGCGTGGGAGCTGCAAAGAAAGTAATCATTGACACCTGTGATGAAACACGCACTCTGAAAAAGACTCCCAGAATGAATTGACGGCACTCACTGCTCTGACTGAAGAGGACGCAGTGGTTGTAGATATTTGTAGAGAGAAGCAGGAAGCCCGGCAGAGGCAGGCAGTGCTGCAAAAAGATGCAAAGGAATCATGTTAAAGGATTGCACATTTTAAAACAGCTCCATGAAAACATTTGTGGAGTGAATTCCTGGGCTGTTGGTGCTGGAGGAAAACTCACATTGTAGAAGAGCGCCTCTTTGGAGTGTTTTCCATACTTCTTGTACAGCGTCTCCTGAAAAATGCCCATCCTCGCAGACATCAGCAGGGCAAAGGTCAACATGGCGATACCTGAATGCATCCGTACAACATGTATATGGATTATCAACATGTCATGATCAACATGACTTCCCACCCCTGCAAATGCCTCCAACACACAAAATGATTGGACAGAAACTTGTGACTTACTACTAAACATACACACCGATATTCACATATCTGCAAAAGGCCAGCATCAGCTGCCACTCACCTATAAGCCAATGCATAAAGGTGTAAAAGCCTTGGTCTTCTGAACCCTCATTTGACACATTCTGCAAAATCAGGAGTGCAGTTTATGAGAGCACACTTAAACAAATGCTAAAATGACTCACAGTCAAACTGCAGCAGTACCCAGTGTTCTGCAGAGGACTCACCACTTGTTTGGCAGACATGATGGTGCAGATGAAGATACCTGCAGAAACTAAGGCTATAGACAGATATTTGCTGGCCGAATATCTGCGGAGAGAGAAGAAAAATGTGGGTAGATTCACTACGACTCTTTTCAACTTTTATTTCGATTTGAAAGCTTCCTCTTTTCAATAGCTTCAACTACACAGCTGAAAAAAGTGAATAAAATTTGCATTTTTAAGCCCGAGATGAGCGTTTTCATTGTCGCCACCTTGGTTGAAAACTTGGCTGGGACAAGGAAGGGAGGAAAGCTGACTCATTAACCAATGAGCGGATAATTCTCCGTTCCTAAACATAATGTAACCAAGATTTACAAAATAGAATGTATTTGTTACTGAATATAACCAAAACCGAGTGACCGAGAGGGGGAACACAGACAGCTTTTCCTCCCATAGACTTCTATAGTATGGAAGTATCTTTGCAACCTAAGCAAGCGTCATCTGGTGGCCTTCAGATATAATGCAGGTGTTTCCACAATAGCTTCCTTTGTCCAACCTGGCTGCTATGTCCATCTTTAAAACTATCAATGTATAAAATATAATGATGGGTACTGTAGACAGCACCACTACAAACTTTCAAGACAATGAAGATGAATGTGTAAATCAGACTGTCGTAGTAAACCTGCTCCAACAGGATCTGGTGAAGATGATTTTATTTCTATAAAACAGCCAAATTTGTGGAACACGGGATTGTCTTTGTGAAATATGAATGAATCAGTTCAGATGCAGGGATTTTTGCAACTGTCTGTCCACGGAATAAAACCCTGATCATTATAATCTCTGTCAGCAAAAAATTGATCCTATTAGCATTTAATCAAAGTGTGTGGTCATTAAGTACACTCCATGAAGCGTTCTAGTTGCTAAATTTACAAAGTCAAAAACATAGTGGGGAAACGTTGTGTATGTTGTTGGGGGATGCTGGGTACCTTTTCTTCAGGATGATTATTCCCAGGATCATGTTAGCGATTAGTGATCCCTACAGAGAAACAAGAAAACAGTTCAGAGATCAGGCTTTGGTGAAGGAAGTGATGGTCAGTGATAACAGGAAACATTCAAGAGTCATAGTGTGAAACTTACTGATCTAAAGATCATGTGTAGAGGCATGGCGATGTTGAAGTTGAGAGCGTAGTTGTTGATCACACTGACAGTGAAGAACATGGTCACCATGATCACATAGTTACTGAAAATAAATAAATAAATAATGGACAATGTGATTCAGTGTCAGCTTTAAAAACTCACCAGCTGAAAAATATTCACATCAATCTTTTTTGTTAATAAATTATTTAATTTTCACCTAATAGGTATTGCTGGTTTCTTGCGTCCAAAGTTTGTTTCAAAGATGAAACCTTCCAATGCGATGAAGACAAACTGAGCAAAGGTGACTATGTTGCCACATCCTGGAAAATCTCTATGAAAAAAAAAAGAAGAAAAAGAGCCAAGAGTTAATTAATGCTAACGACAGACATTTCAAAAATGAATACACTGGAAAAAAAAGAAAAGAAAAAAAAAAAAGAACAGAGCAATATATGTATAACTTTTTCTCTAATCTACATACCCACTTAGTATAATTGAATGGCATTATGTAACTGTAATGAAAATAAAAACTAGCTTCAGAATAAATGTGCTAAAAGAAAATAAAGATAGAAGTAAATCTTTAGTTTTAGTCTTTGGTAATGTGGCCCAATCTATGGATACTATACCATGAGCAGGCTTTTGCATGGCTGTTTCTAGACATAGGGATATCTACATGAATATGAGCCAGGTGCCTGCACAAGTGCTGCGATTATTTATTCAGAAATTCTTAAATTTACAGTCAGATTTACACCCAGCCTCACCTGTATGGACGCACAACTTTCACAGGTAAGGAAGGGGGGATAAAAACAAACAACTAAAACAAGGTGCTGACAGACACCCCAAATATGGGTGTGTATAGTATTGACACTGTGCATACACTTCACTTCATGTTTTGTGTGAAACATTAAAGGGAATGAATCATTGTCCATACAAATACTGTACAATACAAACTGTGTGCATACACATAGTCACCTGACACTTTATTTGGAATACCTGCTCAGCTCTTGTTAAATAAATTATCTCATCAGCCAATCATAGGCACCTTGTTAAATCTGTTGCCAGGGAGAATTAAACAGTTCTGAAGGCAAAAGGTCCAAACTTGGACCAAACAAGTGTGCAGTAAAAGTATTTCCATAGAATGTCACTAACTACAGGAAACCACTCTCTTACTTTCACTTCAGTAACACTGACCAACAGCTGATAACACAGAAACACCGAATAACCACAGAAGCACAAAGTACATGTCAAAAGACTGAACTCCTTCCAGCATAAACTCGTAATGCAAGTGATTATGACACACAGTGATACTGCTCTGCTACATATACTGCACGCAGCGTAGCCAGTTTTCTCGTTAACACCATCCATTAACTACGTGAGGTCAGGAGTAACTTAAAAAACGTCTTGATCAAGTATGATTTATAGAAGCAAAAACCGTTGAAAACGACAGTTAAAATTATTCAGGAGGAGAAGGGTAGCTTAGTAACACTCAGACACTTAGACAAACATGCAAACGAGACTTCACTTCCTGTATGAATTCAGTGAAAACACCTGTGCAACGAGGAATCTAAAAACAAACTGTTCACACAAACGTTTGTGAAGTAAAGTCTTCATGAGTCATTGGTGTAGACACGGTGTAAGTTTCTCACTGACCTCACAAGCAGCTCCAGAAACACCACATTGCTACAACAGCCGACAAAAACAAGAACAACGGCAAACACGGGCCCCATGGTGTTCACGGCGGGAAAAACTCGGTGGAAGATGTGTCACTTAATCAAACGGGACAATGAACGGAGCATGTTTGCATTACGGCAGCGGTTTGTGTGTCCGACTTCTTGTGCTTTCACACAAACTCCGGTTTCAGCTGAACACGTCTGAATCCGAGATTTCGCTCTTCCTTGTTCCAGGTGCTTCATGGGAGTTGTAGTTTATTTAAAAAATAGGAAAAGGGGTTTCCCGTGTGCGTAATATTTATAGTTTCACGTAACACATTACGAGTTAAAAAAACGTATTGTACAGGAAGCAACACTACATGTGAATATTAGAGAAAAATGTAACAAACGAATGAATAAATATGCGTTCAGCGTAATCACGGTCCAGCTCTGACGACACGCATGCGCAGCTCATTACAGACTGAAAAATAATGAGATATCACTCTGCCTCATTTTATAGGTACATGAAGCCACGCAAGGCTGTTGGAGCAGGAGAGCTGCTCACTATGAACTATGATCGTGCAAATTTTGGTATCGATTTGATACCAAGTAAATACAGGAAGATTATTACTGATACTATTACTTTTAATCTATGAAGGGAGCTTATATAGGGAAGAGCAGGGTGCTGGGATTTATGACATGAATCATCATCCATTTGCAAATTTTGAAAAGATTTAAATCACTGTGGTTTTACTTTCCATAATAAAAAGTCAACACAATCAGCGTTTCATGGATTTTAACAATGACCTTTTTGGAGAGCTGGAATGTAAATATGCCTGTCTCTGACGGACTTTGTTTTTAAATATGTTATAGGCTATAGATAAAATAGATATGACAGTCAAGCCAAAAAAAGTTCAGACATTTTTT